AGAAGGGAGCAAAGAGCAAGGTCTCCAGTTTCAGAACAGACTAAGCTCTTCCGAGTGGTCCAATGCCAGCCTGTAGCAAAGGGAGGAATTCCTGAAAGGCCTCAACACTGGGCAGTCGGGGAAGGGAAGGTGGCACCAACAAGCGGAGGGAAGTTACCCAACCTGTGACTATGGGATGCTGAAACTGAGCTGGTGGTTAAAGCTCYGGAGCTACCAGGGACCATTCTCTGCAACACTCGCTCACGCAGCAGCCGCCTCCAAAAACGCTCCCCAACGCAGGGCGGCCTCGGGAGAGCCGTTGAGACGAGGGCGGAGAGCCACTGCAGGGAAACAACGGCTCTGTGAGCGCGTCACGCTGCTCTCCGCGCCGACAGGAGGACGGAGCGGCACAGGTAGCACACACCAAGCAGGTGCCTCCTGTTCTGCTATACTCACACTCAAATAGATCTCTTGTAACAAAAAAAAAAATTAAAAAAGCAAAGCAAAAACCCAACCAAACAAAAAATAAATAGGGGGAAAACAGAGGACTACAGCAAGGTCTACACATGATCCATAAATAGATGCTGCTCTTCAGTGAAATGTCATTATTTTCAAATAAAAGTTATGTTTAATTGTTATGGTATTGACATATTTTGCATTGCATATTATGTCCATACATTAATCTGAAGAATATTGATGCACATGTGCAAAACTCTGCTCAAAATGCCACTTCAAATAAACCATCTACAAATTACTGGATGAACCTTGCAAGTTGCTCAGACTAATKTTAGAGGGTTTTCATGCAAGTAAAACTGTAAAACAGAATAAATTACCTTGCCAASTAAATTCCTCCAAATTTTATATGGAAAATTTACTTTATGAAACACAGGAGAAAGTTATTTAAAGTTAATTTGAACTCATGAAATGCAAGCCCATGACACACAATTTATTATACACTCTAGAAGCCATCCCACACTTGATTCAAATACCACCARTGCTGATGTCCAAACCCAATTCCAATCCTTTCTTCAGATGCTCTAAATTAATTGCCTTAAAGCTTTCAATATTTTTATGTAATAAGRACATAACAACTAGCAGACATGAGATCATACTTATAATGATGAACTATTAATCTTACTATTCCTGTTGCACARTCCTGTTGCTCTCTATTGGGTTATTAACTTGGCTTTTTAATTCTTTCAATATATCTGTAACCACGTGCTTATCTTCTTTTTGACCTTAAAAGATAAAGGATCTGATCAAATTTGGGCCAYAGTCCAGGCTAGGACTGGTTTCTATTGCTCCAGTTTCTTTTCTGTTGTTCCATACTATACTGTTTAATTGGGTCCCAACAAAAATATAAGCATTTGGAAAAGGGTAACTTCCCCCAGGGAAGTTAAACCGCTCTGACCTCCTCAAATTATGCTGACCAAAGTGATGTACTGATTTTCAGAAATGCACCCATGCTCATGCGCTCAAACTGTTTGTTCTGGAACTGATAAACAGCAGGGGCAACTCTCAGRAATTCCTCTGACTTCTTTTTGACAGCRTCTACACGTACTCGCTATTTTTATTCAGTGTTTATCACTGTCACATGCTGCTATTTCACACTCGCTTTCATCCACAATATCCAGATAAATACCATCTGGATATGTTAAAACCTTTAGGCAGAATAGTAAAGAAGTAAATGTGAACATCATGCTTTTTAGGTGCAGTAATGACAACATTTCTCCCTCTCATGAGAGCAAGGCGAGACGTGAACACTTGGGGAGTGCGTTTGGAGGGGGACATGAGGTTCCCATTGTTTCTTCCCAAGCTTATTTCTACTTTTCCTTTAGTGACAGTGTAATGAAAGATGATCAACACATCCAACACAAAACCATTTTTCTCTTCTTGTCCCTTCTAAGCAGCTCTTTGAGAATTTAGTCATATGGATCAATATGGTTTAATTGTTTGCATCTCAGTTGATCCATCACAAATAAAAACAACCTAGCAGGATAACCTGCCCTAAGCAGAACCACCATGTTTTGTCACTAGTGATTTGGACAAAATATCTYGAGTAGTATGGGGGAGAAATCTATGGGAAATTGGTATTCTCTGGAAAGGCTGCCACGTGCAGCACCACTGCAATGTGGATGCGCTTCCAATGGAAATGTACCAAGATCCAAATTCGCTGTAACAAAAAGGAGTGAATRACTAGTAAATGGCAGAAAAAAAATAGCCATCACAATTGGATGTGAAGCAGTAACTAGAAGTGACACCCTTTTCTAAAACTAGTAATCAAATTTGACATCTTCCACAAACACAAAACAAAAAACCCACAAAATAACCCACGGAATTTGCAGTTGGGAAGTGCTGACAGAACACCAAAATGCATCAGCAATAACAAGAAGCACAACACATTAGCGAGCATATATTGCAGCAATTTGCTTGGGCTTAAAAGGGCACCCTGTTAACAGATGTTCCTGGCACTCCGTGTCCTACTCAGAGCACTAATGTAAAAGGGATTGTGAGCATCTTTGTCCAGATGTTTATTAACACATTATCTCAGATAAAGTGTGGTAGGCTAATCCTAGTTACTGACATGCTCCCTTTAACCTCCCCTGCCTATCACTCAGTAAAGTGATCAAGAGTGAACTATATCCCTGGATAAATATGTGGTTTTTCAGGAGTGGCACAGGCTCTTCTGAGGAGTGGAGATTTATGGATTTGTAAGGATAATGTGTTTCTTGAGAACACATTTTATCTGCATGGAATTTAGATTTCATTCACATGGGAAAAGTTATACTATGGGAAACAGTCCTCAAATAAAATTGTGTTCATCAGAAATTTGTTTTCCATGCAATAAATTCCACTCAGAGCTGCTAGACTGAAAGAGACATGCCAACCTTATCTTTTAAAAATTACCAGGATGGGACTGCCRTTTCGTTCTGGTGAGAATGGAAAACAAAGTTCTCATTCATCACTGACAGAAACAAGATGCTGCTATGAAATGGGCAGATGAAAATGTCATTTTATAGCTGAAATGCATCTCATGCATCTTGGATGTATAATAATTCCTAATTCAATTCTTGTTACATCATATTCCTGAACAGACTAAATATTGGATTGTTGCAGACCAAACAGTGAGATGATCTTGACCTTTCAGAGAAGAAAGTGTTTCTTCCATTTTGCATTTGGAGGGTCTAAAACAATGACAAATATGTTCTCCTTCATAATTTATAAACTATCTTTAAACGATACAATTTATAATATATGGAATATATGCAACTACCACAATAATTTGGAAGGTCTTGGATGGCTATTTCATGTATATGCTCTGGAACTACCGCAATAATTTGGAAGGTCTTGGATGGCTATTTCATGTATGTGCTCTGGAACTACCACAATAATTTGGAAGGTCTTGGATGGCTATTTCATGTATGTGCTCTGGTTGCTCTCCTGCATTCGGTGTTGCTGGTTTTACAGCTGACAGTTACACGCAGGGAGTCACTGCTGTGGCGCCGTCACCGCAGATCCTGGCCCCGGACACAGAAAGAGCCAGGAGGGAGATCCAGTTTGTTCCTTCAGCTTACATAATTGCATCATGCTTCATACAAACCGTAAGGCTCAATGGGTGAAGAGGTCTTGGAAGGAATTTGAACATTTGCCATTGTAACATTAGGTAATGACATTTTAACAGTTCAATTAACCATCAGGCAGCCAAGAGTTGGATGAGAACAGTTGAAACCATTGACTAATTAACTCACCAAACAAGATGCTGCAGGGAAGGGGAAATAACCCTATTTGTTTTGAATGGCCTGTTGAAAAGGCCTGGCTGGCGGGATAAAAGGGAGGGTGCCAGTCTGCAAGGGAGTCTGTAGAGGGTCATAAGGTATTAAAACAAACATCAACAACACCCCCTACAAACAAAGCAACAAAAATATATCACTTGTAAAAATTTGTAAAATGCAGGTCTGAAGAGGCTAATAAATAAATGAAGGAAAATACAGAARAGAGGATTCAATGCTTAATCACCAGACTCAAGGGATTCTGGTATATAGATCAAAGTAAACGCAAAAAAAAAAGTTGAGTTAAAATACAGCAYTAGCAGTTCTGTTGATTACCTATTCAGAAGAATTTATAAATAAGGTGAAAATTCAAAAACTCAGGACTTCCAAATAATCGGTATCTAAAAGGAATTTACGTCAACTGCTGCACTACAAGCTATTTTGAGCAGCTGAAAGAGTAAGCCACAGGCACACAGTGACACAGGTCCAGCTGAGGGAGTTACCAACTTCTTAACTAGGAATTCACCTGCAGGCCTCTCAAGCAACATTCATCCCATGTCCAAAAGGTTGAACAGTTCTGTGGAATTATTAAAGATATTTTTGCTTGGTATCACTACAGCAGAAGCTTCAGAAGTATCACCTACTGCTGGATGGTAAAAGTCAGTGATGGACAAATACAGCTGAGCTGCTTCAACTATAATTGGAAACATGACATTTAGCCTTCCAGTAATGGTGCCAGTAAATGAATTACTGGGGAAAAAAAAAGACTGATAAAAAAAGATTAAAAGATCCCCCAAAGAAACAGCAAGAGCAACAAAAGGTTCTCTCTCCCAGAAGCTTCCCCAAGAGARACCCTCAAACTTATTTGGGGTAGTTTAGAAAGGAATGTAAAACAAATACAGTTCAATCTCTTAAGGTACGATAAAAGCTTTAAATCAGCTTTAAATACTACAGCAAGTGAAGGCCACGTGCATAAAATGCTTTTTAAGCATTTGTAACCTTACTAGACATATTTCTACATCATAGGTGTACATACAACACGTGGGGRAGATGGGTTTAAATCACTCCAAATCCTGGGGCTAGAACATGAAGGTAAATGGCACCTGATGCCAATGGTCTCAGGTTCACTTAACCTTCGAAGAGCACCAGTGTGAAGACTTTTTTATCTTCAGAGCGTAGCAAGGCAGCTGAAGCTAGCTTTGTATATGAAAAAGCATGGGGCTAGAGCATGTTCAATCAACACCAACTCACCTGTCATAGATGGTGCCACCTTTCTTTGCCCTTTGTGGTCCACAGTACCCTCGTATGCTACAGTCACATCATAAACTGCATCCAAGTAGTCCTTCATTGTGTCAATGGCTACATGAGTTGCCTTCACACGTGGTGTCAGCACATGTTTTAATACAGTAAGTCCTAGGGTGGGAAAAGGAAAAAAAGATAGTTTTAGAAGTAAAATGGACCTCACAGAAAAAAGAAACACCATGCCAAGACATCACAGAACCTCCAACTCAAAATAAATAAATAAATAAATAAATAAATAAATAAATAAATAAATTTACGTTGTCAATTTATAACCTGTGTTAACATGCTGCAGGTTTTCATGCCCTTAAAAACAGAGAAAGGGCCAGCAAACACACTACACATCTTCTCCTGAACAGATGTACAAGATAACAGAAGTTTTACTGGAATTTAATTAAAGGCAAGTTGCTCAACAAAATAATCCTTTATGTGGCTCATAACCTACGAACAGAAGTTCCTCCTTACTGCTTCTGAGTGAAGAAAAAAATGAGGTGAACTGAGAAACAGTAAACACATAGAACAGTCTTCTGAAATTCTGTGTCAGAAACCGCTTTGGTAGATAAGGTGTAAGAACAGATAAATTCAAGTGTTTATAATTCTCATGTACCATTGTAGTTCCAATGGGCAAAACACATCAACATATCAAATCCTAATTTTGCCCCATAAATTAAAACAGCAGTTATATGAAACTGCACATACTAAAACAGGACACTGCACTTCTCCAAAGCCAACAAGCGAAGAGAAATTTCAACTTTTGACATTTGTTTATTTTGACTTGTACCTCTCTATACTTATGCTTCCTTCTGACTAACGTCGCATCCTGGGACCTTCGACATGGTTACTCTGATGGTCTCTCAACACGATCTTTACCTTCAGATGCCCGAGTTACCAATCACAATGACTTGCTGCTATCAGAAAGGGGGAAATGCACTTCACCCTCACATCCCTTTCCCATCACTTTTCTCCTTCTGCATGCATGATCCTGCCACTAAACCCTGCACAGCTCTGGAATCCCTCCCCAACTCCCAGCTGATTCAACTCACCATTCCAGAAGAAACCAGCCATCAGAGGAGGCTGGGATAACAAAACAGAGCTGGGAGGAAGGAGAAAACCCTTGCTATTTCCCTGGCAGTAAGATAATAGACTTACTTAGTTACTAACAAATGCATACTCAAAGATATCTTTTCTACTGGTCCAGAACACAGAGGTTCCTATGTCTAGGACAAAAAACATTGTCAAGTTTAACAGCAGCCTGCAAGTTTTACTTTACTTTACTTTACACTCCTTGACTCCTCTGACTGCTTCTACCTAGACCATGCTTAAGAATATAGTGGGATTAACAATGAAAACTATATTCTACTTTTAGTATTTTAATATAAATGAATCTCAAAACAAATACAAACTTTTCATGATGTGAACATAGCAATTCCACGCTTATTTGAAAGTAGGAACAAAAAAAGGTACTTAATAGAGAAATTTCAGTATCTTATTATTAAATGTGCATTCTTCTGAAAAGAATAAAGTATTGGATGATGATTATGGTTATTTCTTATCTTCCACCTGTTCTACTCTTGAATGTACTTTTAAAGAGTCAGCCATTGCTGCAAGTGGTTCCCAATAAATGGAACAGAGATTTTTCCAAGCCAAAGTAGGCAGAAATATTTTAACCTGCAAAACTAACACAAATGAATTTTATATCATGTTCCAATTTTAACTGGACATTTCTCCCTTTCTGTTGGGTAAAGTATACTTGATTTTAAAATTATCGAAGTGTCTATCACACACTGTAAAGTAACATTGGTTTCCACATTGTTCTAGGATTTTTATAGTTGAAAATTATGGAATAAATCATTACCACTCTCCCCATTTCTTAGCACTTGCTAAGGGTCTCTGTTGAAATAAGGACATAAAAGGTTATTTACTGGCACTCTTTCCGAAGTCATTGTTCTGAGTTCTCCCGGCAACAGTGATAACTGTCTGTGTAAAATGTTACATAGATCCTGTAAATATTTTGAAGCACAACACAGTGGCAGTTTGCTGTTTTGTTTTCTTTCTTTTTTTTTTTCTTTTTTTTTTTTTTTTTCTTTTAAAGCTTGTGAACTATCACATCAAACAGCTAATCATGTTATGTTTCCAAATGTTTACTCCCTGAGCGATCTGCACGCCGACCCCAGCGGTGTGAGCGAGGAGGCGAGCGCGGACAATCCGCTCAACACACCCCTCTTGCTGACCCACATTCCCAAATGTCCTCTTTTTGTCCTTAAAGTTTCCCATTCTTGCCTTGCCAAGCTACTACTGCAGAGAGGGCAAGGGGAAATTCAGGCTTCAATGAGGACCAAGTCCTGTGGACAAATGAGGTATCAAAGGCTAGTCAGTGCTGGGGTGTTTTTGAATCCATGGCCTACTTTGCTGCTGAAGATGGTCACTGAGAATCAGGGAAGGGAAAAACAGCAGCAGGAGCCTCTCCTATTCCACTGGTCACTGCTGCCCTCTTAAAGATTTCAGGACAAACAGGCTATGCCTCCAGTCGAAATCAATGAAGTTCATAATCCATTTCTCAGTGCATCCCCAGTGTTGACAGACATGCAACAACCACRGGAGTTCAACACGTCCTTTTAAAGGATCTGTTTTACAAAACCATTAACCACACATTCTCACACCTTCTTGGGGATCTCTGCTAAAAGCAGCAAACACAGTTTCAACTCAACGCGCTGCGCTGCAGTCGCCCTGGCAAGCTGCCTGTACCCAATTCACAAACGCTGCTTAAACTGTTTTTAGCTGTTGTGCAATGCTCACTTAGGGCTCTCTGTCAAAGTATTTGAGGTCATGAGATTTTACTTGAAATGCCAAAGAAAACAAGCTAAATGTCTAATAAGGTTATACTCTACCTTATAATGCTAAAGCCTTGTTTTTCGCCATAAGCTGATTTTTAAGTGGTAAGAAGAAATCTGGTATTATAATACYAGATATTATAATATCTCAATGCAGTCTAAACAAACCCTATCATGGGCTTCTGAAGTTATTAAAATAATGTGAAAATCTGGAGAAATAAAGACAGCAGTGGTACTTTAAATAACATCCTGTTTATCAGACTATTATAAGATACAGAACTGCCTTAGAAAAAGCGTGCAATGAAACTGAGTGAAATAAAAGGTTTTAGCTAGAGAATTACAAAGGCCCAAATCATCAGTGTCTCCAAAACTGAGTTTTTCGTGTAAACTGGAAAGAGTGAAAAATAAACAACCCCGCCACTTATTTAATCTCTCAGGGTGAAACTACACGACAGCCAAGTACAACTCTCCGTGGAGAGATGATCTCTCTTGCTCTTCCTTCCAGAGCAGTGCAAGCAGCCCAGCTACAGCTTCAGCGTTGTCCATGAATCCTATTTTTACTCCCACATATACACACACAACACATGTTGAGAATGGAAAACAGGGTAAAAAACACTTCCAACTTAATATATTCCATTAAAACCATCATATTTAGTCAAAAAAAGTTATGCTCTCACTAAAAGTGGATGTGACATCATTTTGAGAAGTCTCCCCCTCCCACCAATACGTCTGTATCAGTTGGTATTAATATAAAAATTATTATATTTGGGGATGAAAAACAATTAACCAAACTCAAAATCAAGTAGATACRTAATAGTATTAAAAAGCCATATGCTCTTGGAAAAAGTGCTGTTATTATGGACAAGAAATGTAAGTAACGCCCGTAAGAAGCATGAGACCACTCCACACCAGCCACAGCAGACATCACACTGTGGCACCCTTTCTTCCAAAATAGATGTCTACAAAAAGGTAGTTTTTAAGAATACAATGCAGCTTTTTACCCTCCTAAACCTCATTCTCTAAAGGACAATGTTTAATACTGGAAGCCCTTTCCTCACTCACTAACACAGGCATCTCCAATGTTACTCAAGTTCTCTCCACAAACACATCTTTAATTACATTTTCCTCTCTGCATTTCATTGTGTGCTTTTAAATCAAACTTGCTTACTTGAAAATGTACGGAAAAAAAAAAAGGAAAAGCTATTTTTGAGAGACAGTTCCAAATAAACATTTCTTGATATTGAATACTTTAGATAGATTTAAAATACAATCTAAAACTACTGCCAAGATCTAGAAGGGAAACATTTTCAATTAGCTCAGTTGAAATACCACTTTTTTACGTGACCTGTAAAAGCAATTTTGAGATAAGCACATCCTGCACACACAAACATCTTAGTAGAAAGCATGATACTATTCAAGATAAACTCTGAATTAGAAAACATTTATATTTGCAACTTTTCTGTCTAAAAACAAAAAAGATAATAAATGAATACCTTAAATATTTGCTTGATTAAACGACCTATGTCAGAAATCAAACAYAAATATAAAATTCCATTCGATGCCTTTCCCCGGGGATGATTGTTTTGTCTGCATTCAACAGCAGCAAGCCAAGCTAAATTTAACAAACTTTTATCATGTTCTCTTTAACTTTTCAAAGGGAAATAGTATCAGTAGGAAGGTGTTGGATTTATTATTTATTTTCAACTCTTTTCCAACTAGATGTCACAATTTGGATAAAGTTCATAACATGCTAAACCCAAGGAATCTGTGGTCATTTGGAATGGATTTACAGGTCCAGGACTACAAAATGCAGGTCTAACATCCTTAGAATATATTCAGAAATCTATGCTTATATGTTTTGTCAAGKCACAAATAAAACAAATTTTATACTAAAAGCTGATACAAAAAATAAGTGTTCTTGCGGACTTACAGAAATTTTGTTCTATAGTCCACTACCAGTAATATGCTTTGAAAGATGAACAGTTTAGTACAAATAAATGAAAATTGACCCTTCTAACATTATGAAAATATTAACATTAAACCCTTATGAAAACACAGGTGCCACCTACATACTCAAAAGTTCAAGCCCACTCACTAGCATGGAAGAATCACTGCACCTTAAAGGCATCTAAAATACAGGGACCCTTTTTATACTGTGATCTAAATGAAGTGACTGCCACATTTTGAAGACAACTCTCACGTTAGTCAATTACTCCCTTACGTAGGAAACTAAAGGAGATTCTACCCTAGGATCACTCACTATGCAGTTAATGGCAAGTCCTGGAAGGCAAAAGCACGGGGTGAAGTTGGGAGACATGGGACAAAATAYGTATCTTTCCCAGTGCAATCAAACAACGTATTTTGAGACTGAAATGTTGCCTGTTTCATTGTAGCTAAAAACCCCAGTGGTAGATTCRAATTTTATGACACTTATAAATAATTGCTGGTTTCTGAGAGTGAGATACAAGACAGTGTTCTTAGTTTATGACCATAAAACCCAGTGTCCCTGGAGGTAGGTGAAGGTTTGTATCCCCCTGACGACCACGGCCAGCGCTTACAGCCAGCTCTGCCGYGTCCAGCGGAGCAGCAGCGGGGCCGCCTCTGCGCGTGCCGCCCTCCAAGGGACAGGGACACCGGCGCTCCTCACCGAGAACTGGCAGTGCCGCCARCCGAGAACTTGGCTGGGGTGACAGTCCAGTTCGTGAAATTCATTTTTCACTGCATATTTTGTTTTAAATAATTTTCTAAAAATAATGAGAAGGCACACAGCCCTAATCCTTCCCTAGGAGTTTCTCCATGTCTTATAACTTTCAGGTTCGATTTTTTTCATATTGAAATTGGATCCCCTCTGTATGCTTGATTTACCTGTGTTTCAGAAAAAAAACCAAACCTGTCTACTCTTGCTAGGAAAGGATCTTATGTAGAACTCAAGCCCTGTAACAGAAAAAAGAAAAATATAAAATATTTACAATAATAAAAAAGGCGCCTCTCTTTCAAAGAGGACCTGAGTCACCTTGAAATTCTTTTGGTTGGTATCCTTTCTTCTTACTGTGGACAGATAGATTTATTAATGAATGCTCTGGTATCAGTTATATCAAGACAAGACTAAATTAGACCTCTTTGTTTCCCTAAGAGGAATGGAGTACCAATTTCACAGAATAAAAGAATGGTTGAGGTTGGAAGGCACCTCTAGAGAGCATCTAGTCCAACCTCCCTGCTCCAGCAGGGACACCCAGAGCACATGACACAGGGCGCCATCCAGGTGGGTTTGGAAGATCTCCAGAGAAGGAGACTCCACAACCTCCCTGGGCAGCCTGTTCCAGRGCTCTGTCACCCTCACAGTGAAGAAGTTCTTCCTCACATGCAGATGGAACTGCCTGTGTTTCAGCTTACACCCATTGCCCTATAACTGGCCACCACTGAGAAGAGTTTGGCCCCTTCCTCCCTACATTCACCCTTCAGGTGAATATTAATCAGATCCCCTCTCAGTTTTGGGCACTGAGTTAGGAAATGATCGTATTCCTCTGATGGTCAGCTGTACGAAACCAGAAGCTGCGAGGCTGTTCTGGACAGCAACGCAACCGCAGGTTTTCAGTCCTGCAGAGGTCCATAGCCCCCCGGTACAGGGCACAGCAGCAGGGTGAGCAGCCACCYGCAGGCCTCGGCCTGGCGCCAGGCTCCAGCTCGGCTCCCGCGCAGAAGCCCCAGCTGCTGGGCCCGTGGGGGCACCGGGGTGGTGGCTGGAAGCCGCAGGCTTCCCACAGCGTTTTGGGCACTTTCATATTGTTTTAATGAACCTCTCTTTCACAGACCACTGAAAGAAAACAGCAGGTGCTGCTCTGTGCTGTGCAGCAGTGTGGGGAAACCCTGAGGAGCCACCACCTCCTCGGGGAGTTCCTATCCCAGCTTTCTGAAGATGATGGTAGGTGCCCTGAAGCTCCCACCTGACAGGATAGTTTGATACGTTGTTTTTCAGGCTGCCCATCCCTGCTTCACCACTACCTTTATGAGAGGTGCTCTAATTCAAATGAATATGATTTTTTTTTCCCATTAACTTGCCAATATAGGCTGCAGAATAAATCTTACCATTAACTTCACAGTTCAGTGTTCACCTTCCATTCTCTCTGTACTAAATATTGGAGGGACAACATTTTTGTGAGGAAAAAAAAATATAAAAAGACATTGTGAAAAAGTACATCACAAGGATTCTAAACTAGGAGAGATGTTTCCTTTCAATTTCCCTTCAATTTCCCTTTTCACCTGTACCACAAAGTTTTTAAAAGGAATGACCCTTAGAATTACAAAAGCACATCAGTACCTGAGAAAGAGCAGGTGGAAGAGCAGCACTTGCTATTTGATTTCAATGGTCTGTRAAACAAAGAGGTTCCTTAAAATAATAATAAAATGCCAAAGAGAGAATGATTCTCTCTCCTTGCAAAGAGAGGATGGAGTAAAAAAGGATAATTCTCAAACACCCGCTCTGAACTSTCAAAGAACCGACAACCTGAATGAAACATTTGACTTCTATTTCCGACAGGAAACTGAAGTGATGAATATGCTGTGACTTGGGCTCACACACGAATTCCATTCTTCCCAAGGAGAAGAAAAGCATATATCCTTTTGGACAAAATCTAACAATACACTTACTTGCTTGATGATATCAACAGGCTGATTCACAGAATTCTGAATTCATTTCAGTGTGTCACAGAAATGAATTTACCAGACCCATTTGTTATTCTTTGTTTACCTTTGGGATGAATTATTTTACTTTTGGTCAACAGGAAAAAACAAAGCCAGGAAACATGTTCACTGAATTGTTGAAGTGAGAAGTCTAGATGTTTTGCGTATATGATGTGACAAATATGAAAAAAACTTCAGACACCCTTTTTTTTTTTTGCAAGCCATTCCAAAATTGAAATAATTCCATCTAAGGGGACAATGACAGTGCAAATCTTCATTAAAGCAACTCCACAACAAAGTTCCCCCAAGGAGCAGTGAGAATAGAAGGTGAAGGAAGAATAAAAACCAGAATGCCACGTTAGTACTCGTAGTAAATAAGATGTCTTTTAAGGCTTAATGTTCCCTCTGTAAATTGTCTTTTATAACAACAATAACCGTATTGGCAGTTATAACGTGAATTTTGGTAGTTCAGTAGCCTGATCTCATGTGGGCAATTTCTATGCCCCTGATGGAGTAGAAAAAGAAGCGTTGACAAATATAGATAGAAGCTAAAGAAAATTTCATTGAAAATTAATACCCTTGTGCAATGTAAAATAAACWAATTGTCTGTATATAAGCTAGCCCTAGCTGAAAAAAAGAAAAAAAATCAGGAAAGACGGATTAATAGGAATAACACTGGCTTTCTAAAGTGTTAAGTATGAGATGAACAGGCTTAATAGTAATATAATTCATCAAAAAKAATGATTTCAAAAGCTTTTCTTACTTACCTTCTTTTTCAGCAAATGACTGACTATCTGCAATGACTTTCGGTATTTCTGGATTGTAACGAGTCCCCTCTGGAAAAATCACTAAATACATCTGTGGGACAAAAAAGAGGTATAAGTTCTTAGAATTAAAAGTAGTTGATTCCTTTTAGAGAGTGAACGTTACTTAAAAGGTCCACAGTATTTATTTCACACTGCCTATGGCTGCAAGGGTCCAAAGAATATCAGAATACTTCAAAAAAAAAATTCTTAGCCACAGGGAACATAGTGCTTAGGAAGTACAATAATTTTCTGCCATCTGTCCCCCCACAGAAAGTTGATTAGGTGGTTTATGAAGGTACACAGCATGCGACAACTCAAAATTTGAACTTCAAAGTCACATTCCTTTAAGCATCTGTTTATGCAGGGTTAGATTTTGCCTGTAAATTAGTTTGCTTATCTAACTGGTAACAATTCTATTTATGGATTCTTACATCATCAAGCAAGTACTGTTTGYCTAAGTATGTAGATAATGTACATGTTATGTACATGTACATAATGTACAAAGAAGAAATCAATTTTATGAATTTTCCTTCCTCATTTTTTCCTCAATCTTGCATAATCTTCTACACAAAATCTTTATACAAAGCACTATTTAGGCAGTGAAAATTTCATTCTGGGGCTCACCTGCAACAGAAAAAGCTACTGCCACAAACCAGCATGGAGTTGAATGTGAATTGACATCCACAGTTAAATGCTGTGCTTASACTATTTCTTTATCTTTGCAGAAATGCAAATATTTGCATTTTACCAGAAATATTTGAAAATTWAAAAAAAGTGAGTAAAAAGGAATTTGCATTTCAGAGGCAAAGTGCTTTCTATTCATTTTCCTTTGTTCTGGCAAGACTGCAGCATAAGCATGACAGACTCAGTTGCCCATCCACACATTCACCCAGTCATTTTGTCTCTGAAGTTCACAGTGGAGATATTTAAGTGACTAAATTRAAATATTCAGAATTAACCAGAAAAGGCACAATATTCAATCCCAGACACCTTTTTTATTCTTAAATGTGCGGATATTCAAACCACATAGTTTGAATCAGATCTGCAAAATGGTAGTCCGAGATGAAGCTTCTTTTCCCGGTCACTAAAGCAGGAATCCTCAGTCCCGGAGGGAATTCCAGGGTTGTAGCTGTTGAGTGTGATAATTGAGCACAGAGGGTAGGAAAATCATTCCTGGTACAGGGATCAGGAGCCAGAAACATTCCACAACATTTCCATCTCTTCCCCTCCAAAGAAGATAATGAGTCATCAAAAGCTGATTACAACCAAGAGCGCAAGAGCTACTTACTCCTGTCCTGCATTAGTAATACAAGGCAAGGGTACAAATTATATTTTAATTATTCTTGTAATCCACAGACTCCCGAAAGCTGAACAAGTTTGTTGACCAATTTGAATGTTTCTTAATCAAAAGCATACTGGCAAGACCAGTCTTTGTTCTACATGCAGTACATATAAATCTGTTTACGCTGCTTATATATGCAGTGCATATAAATCTCCTATGCTGTTTATTATGGCTATTTATATTCCTCAGTTTACATTCCTGAATTTTCCTCAGGCAAAGATGTCCTGCTTATACATATGGGCAGTCCTGCCCACGACAAGAATATCCTGCCAGTGCAATTTAGCTACTGAACCTACCTGCAGGCCTGGCTGTTCTCATCTCCTGGCATGGGCAGCAGAAGCTAAATCCTTAAGCACCATTCCCAAAAGATTATCAGAGCTATAAATCTTTAAGATTTTAATTACTAGATAAGCTTCCCTGAACTCAGATGATGAATTGCTGGACTATAGGAACATATTAATCGCCTAGAAAGAGTAGCTGTAGTTAAGGCAACTTTTACTTGCATAATATTTCACTTAGGGCCATGTAATCAGCCATGCTGAACTTGGTGCACTCTCAGAGCAAATGCAAAAACAGGGTTCACGCTCAAAGCAAGATATCACCAATCGGTGATATCACTGATGCACCAATTTTAGTCAAAATAGAATAGGCCTCTGTTCAGCTGTAATTGACACTTTCATGATGATTCCAGTGTTGCAGATAAATGGAAAATTTTTGTGTAATGATGACACGCTGCTTCTGACCAATTCCAAAACTTAAAGGAGTGGATTAGGACTCTGACAGTAACTGATTTTGGCTAAAGCTAGAAAGACTGAGAGCGRCAGGGGTTAGATGCAGATTCCCCAGTGTAAAAATCACTGCACATATCCACTTAATATACAGATGAAGCAAATGGATTACACCTGTTTTCACCCACAAATAACTCCACACATTTCCCCAGTGTTCTSAGAAACAGCAATAGCACAGAGAGAGGCAGTGCTTACAGAGCAGAAGGAGAGCAGCATAGGAAACCCTTGGGGCACATCAGGGAGTTCTAAGTTTTGGGTAGGCGAAAAGGGCCCGAAGCAAAACAGGGTGTCCCTGGACTCCAGAGCCAGCCCAGGTGGTACCACAAACATGCATCAAGAAGAGGCAATAAAGAGAAAAACCTAAGGGAGAAGAACTTATTTTCTGTTTGGGTTACAGAGCCCTGGAACAGGCTGCCCAGAGAGGTTGTGGGGTCTCCTTCTCTGGAGATCATCCCGCCTGGATACCACCCTGTGCCATGTGCTCTATGGATATGTGGATATATGGATATGTAATATGGCACATTAGGATATGTGCCCTGCTGGAGCAGGGGGGAGCTGGAGYTGATCTCTGCAGGTCTCTTCCAACCTCAACCATTCTGTGATGCTGTGAGAACTGGGCTTAGAAATGAGTGACTCCATGATAAACTAATTAGATTAAGTCTTTATGTGGTTGTATTAATGTATCTGTCCTCTTCATGYTCCTCACGTCTGATTCACTTTGCTTGGTATAACCAAGACTTAGTTTGTTAGTCAGGTTTGCAGTTGAGAAGACTTAATTTTCTTTATAAAACCAGGAGATTGCGTATATCAGTGCCTCTTGTTATACTATTACTTTGAGAAACACAATCTTGTTGTGGCCTACATTAAAACAACACAAAAGCGTCCTTCAAATTGTGTGACTGTTTCTGCTCTTCAAATAAGGCAWGAGATTAAAACGTGTTCCCAATCAGATAACTAAAATCTCATGGCTTAAAATAAGCACTGGCAATTAGAAGGGCTCAGTAACGAGCTCAGTAATGAGTGTAGCGTTAAATGGTGATTAGGGGGGGCAAAGAGCTTGTTAGACCAACTCGAGCAGGAGGCTCTGGTTCTGCCTCCTGAGAAGCCTTCAGTTTCTTAATGGGGACAGGGAGGGCTCCTGGCAGATTGAGCTTTAATCATTCAGATTCTTTTGCTTAAGCTGTAGGTGGAGAGAAACTGTAAATAAAACAACGACCCTAAGCATAGATTCCCATCCACCTTGCTATGGGCATCATTCCCTCCTTGGCAGCTGGAAGGACGAGCTCTTCCCTGGCACTAAAGGGGGCAGGAAGGCCCTTCGCTGCCCCAGCACCCTACACCAGACTGGCAACCAGGCACAGCTGCTCCTCACACTGAGAAAAGGCCCATTCTGAACCCCGCCAGCCAGYACATAAATGTTAAGAGGAATTCCACAGTAGTAAATTAGTTATTTGCAAAGGAAGCCTACAGCAGTTTAGTCTCGTTTCTGTTAATTTAAGGTGTATGTGCCTCAYGCATGGAAACGTCTCCCGCTTAAACGCATTGTGATTACTCCTGAGTGTCACATTAGGTGCAGCACCGCAAAGCTGCTTCATGAATAATGCAGCAAGGACACAAGTTATCACATCCTGCTCTCCGCAGAAACTGCGGGTTAAAGAGCATTTGCAGCATCTCAATTTAAACTGTTCTCAGATAAAGTGGATTATGGAAAGTTTAGCCTTCTCTCAACTGACAACTCAATGGCCTGTGTCTCGTACCTCAGCAAATACAAACATTTGCCTTRGTAAATGGGCTTTGACATCTTGCAGTTTTATGAACTTAAGCATCTCTCCCTGTATGTTTTGGCTGAAAGATGGGAAACAGAGAACTTCATTTTTACACCGCTTGCCCTTGGTTCCCTTTCCTGGCGTGGCCCAAGGCACATGAAGAAAGCGGCAAYGCCGTCCCGACGAGGGCAGCTGCGCAGGGCCGGCCTGGCCGCCCCGCTCGCAGCCTCCAGTCGCTGTTTCCTCAGGCCGGCCTGGTGACTTCAGCTGCCTGCCACCTACGGGCACGGGGCTGCCCCGTCCATCCACTTCTAACAGTTACCTCAGCAGAGCACRTGGCCAGACATGAGCGCATCAAAAGAATCTTAAGGCGCTTAATTTAAATGCAGCAATAAATTCAACTCCACTCACAGCATTAGTGAAGAAAGACTGAGACCAAGACTCAGATTTTAGTGACCTGCATTTTAATGCGCTGAAGACAAAAACCTTCCGAGAGCTTCATTTAGCAAGTGTTAGCTTAGAAAAGCAGGAGACGGCTTCAAGCACAGCTTCATTTAGCAAGTGTTAGCTTAGAAAAGCAGGAGACGGCTTCAAGCACACGCCTCAGTCTGCACCTTTGCCTACCGAATTATGCTGCCTGCTTCACAGAAAGTAAAATCACAGCCTGGTTGAGGTTGGAAGGGACATCTAGAGACCAGCTTGTCCAGCCCCCTGCTCAAGCAGGGGCACCTGGTGCATTTGGGCACATCTTTGGCATGTGCAAAGAGAAAATAACTATGTGATRCCAATCTGCCACATGGGCGATAAAATGGTTCTCCTTGGTAACACAAAGGAAGATTATCATCATCGAAATGGCCGCCTCCTCACTATGGGTATTACTAGTTAGACACGTCTGGATACTCCTAAGCTTCCCATAAACTGAGCAACTGTCAAACTCCTGTAACAGAAGTTATCTAAATCACTTGCCAAACATGGAGAAATTCCCAAACTAACACAGCCCAAGATAATGTGCTGTGGCATGCTGATAGGAAAAACAAATATTAAGTGGCACACACAGATCAAAGATGTGACAGGCCTTCTGAGAGAGCTTCATGAAGATGCAGAGATTAGTAAGTATGATATTACTGTAATGCTAAAAATATATAAAAGTGGTCAAATAACATTGTGTCTTGACCCAGTACTTTCCTCTAGCTGGAATATTTTTAAGACAACTTAACTTCAAACTATTTGTTAAATACAGAGCACAATGCAACAGAGGTATAATCTAGTTAAGGATACATTTTGTGCACATAAATGAAGACAGAATTTGGCACAAAAAAMCATGCAATGATGCACTCAATAATACAGAATTAAGGCATCCTTACAGACCACAGAAATAGTCGCTGCCAAAATTTAACTGACCTGATTTCTCCTGTGCTAACAGTAATGAACATTATTCACTACTGCATCAGAGAAAGAGCTGCCCACAGGGCAAGTGGAACTCTGCAGTAAAATGACCTTTTCTGTCAGCCAAAAATTTATAGCAAAAATTTGTTATAATGCATTTTTAGCCATCAGAGCTGATACTTTAAAAATAAAGAACAGACACTSTTACTATTCATCTTACGAAATAAATAAGAAGGTAAAAACTGTCCATACTAAATTTCAATCAATGACTGAATTTGACTACTGTCTTAAGAGAAATGATGTACTGATTTAAGGTTTTCCAGTTAGTGTCAGAGCTCTGCACCCAAGTATGCATATACCTCAGTCACCCAAAAAAGACTATTTTCTGAATGCACACAAACAGGAGTAGTATTTTGAAGGTCATAGCAGCCTAGATATTCCATTAACCCAAGGCTGAGTGATTAAAAGGTACACCACTGCTGGCATATGGAACGGTGAGTCCTAATCACATCGTTTCAAATTAAATAAAGCTGAGTTGTTTTATATCACAAGTTATTGCTCTAGTCTTCATGTCAAGCCCAAAAGGCAGACAGCATTTTCATGTACTGTAATGGAGGCGAGGCACAGTGACTTTAACCACTGAGCCACAAACCATGCAGGGAGTCATGGGAAACGTCACTTGACACCAACAGCCATTCTTCAAAATGAAAATTATCAAGAGGGGTTTTTTTTCCCCCTTCAAGAGTAGCAGACAACATTATTCCATCCTAAGCTGTCACTTTCATTAAAATGACTGATCATTGGTATGACTGATGAACTGGACTTCCGAAAGACTTCTCTGACCAGTATTATTACAGTAGTCAAAATGTTGTATCTTCAAACACAAGGAACACTGAAAGTGGTTGCTCAAGGATGTTACCATAACTCATGTTCTAAGATTTAATCCAGATTCTCCTTCCCTATCTACAGATAAAGAAGCTCAGATCATTCATAAAAAGACTAGTCAAAATCCTAACAGTTTTAAGATATTCTAATTAAAAAAAAAAACTGATATATATATATATATTTTATATATATAAACTAAATCCATGATGATTGCTATCTTATAGATTGCAGATATCAGGCACAGTTCGTTTATCTGAATAAGCTTCTGCTGTTAAAAAGATCAAGAAATGAATGGGGGAAAGAAGAAATGTATAATCTTACCGGAATCTCAGCTTTCACGTGGGCCTGCAATTTCGCTCTCATTTCTTTTTCATTGAATTTGGCACTTCTTTTTACATAGACTCCTCCATGCTAACAAAACAGATCAACAAATAAATATTTTAAACCCAGAATATTTGATAAAAGAACAAACACGACCGCAGTGACAAGACATTTATGACTCATGCTGCAAATTTCCCACAAAACATTTTACCCTGGGATCAAAACACTTAAAACGTGTATAAGTTGACAAGGTCTGTTTATATGAAGATGATATCTACAGAAAATATCAGAAGACATCTAAATGTCTTGATTAAAGATGTTAAATAATTTACTGTAAGACAGCACTGTAACTAACCCCAGGGATCCATTCCTGAAAACAGACGAACAGTTTTGCTTCTCCCCGGTACCACTTGCAGATCAAGAGAATTCACGTCAGTGAAGTTACCCAGACACAAGTATTTACCGCAGGGATTAAGGCAAAAACTGCACATACGCATACAAACCTTAGGAGTAGCCCAGAAGTAACYAGCACGGGTCATGCAAACAATTTCATACGGCTTTTTTTTTAAAAAAAAAGAATCAAATGCTTAATATGGAAGTGTTAAATACCAAGACACAGAAACACAAACTCTTTAGAAGGTTAAAGATTTCATAAGCTACTTCTGCTGAAAAATTCTAAATAAACACAATAAAAATTGGCCCATTTTCTAGAAAGATTCCACACAACTTAATCACAAAAACTTCAGTTAAAGCACTATGGCAAAGTACCCACAGAGGAAGAARATTAGAAAGAAATAAAACCTGTCTCATCATTTACCTTTTTCCCATCACTTTATTTCATYTACAGTGTATTTGCAATGGGACAATAAACCAACATGCTGATGAACAAGATGAATTACTGACACAATGAGTTATGACAACAGTAAAACAAAACAACAGAAAAAAAAATACACTAGATAGCTTTCATTTGAAAGCATTTGATTTTTAAAGGACTTAATTTTCAGGTATTTTCAAACTTATTTCCAATAATACCTCTTTTATACCCTTCTAGCCTACCTGTTAGCTCTGGGTTTTAATAGATAATTTCTGYCCACTTGTAGTTTTATAAGCTTGACTGAAACTAGTAAGGGCTGACCCTCAGTCTTAGGGAAGRCTACAGCCTGTTAGAGAAATCCAGGTGTTGCGGTGTGTGTACGAGGGGAGAGCGCAGCTCACTCGCACCGTATGTGGGCAGGAACAAAGTCTCAGGGTTATAATGCACGAGAAAAGAGCTGTGCATTATTCTTTCACTTTCTGTTTTTACTATCCAGAAAGCTGGTTGTGCAGGTGCTTCACTAATGTCAAATTACGACTGTCAAATTATTATTAACTTCCCATTAAATATTCTCTCTTAACATTATTGCCTGTGATTCCCTTCTAAGGTGAAGCAGTCAGTTGCTGCGACCAGCTGGGCTGACAGGGATGGTGAGGACAAAAAGTCAGCAGAGAGGAAAAACCCCAGCCCATCCAGCCTGGCCTTTGCAAGTGGCATCATCATATCAGCAACATCTCAGGAGATTTTACCAGTTACAGGGAAATAATGTCACAAGCAGAAAAAAATTCCAACAACTGTGCAGCAAACAGCCACGTGTTAACTATACACTTCACATTTAACGCTGCTTTTAAGACCTGACACCACTGAAGAGAAGTTTTAGTCTGCAGTGTGACACTCATTGCAGCTGCCCACAAGAAGGGCAAACTTAGCTTGGTATGGAAAGTAGTGAATCCTCTATACACGGCTTGGATGTAATTTGTAAACCTGTGTTTTGTGTGCACTCTACTAGGCCAAACTTTCAATTAGGTCATCCTTTATTAATCAAATTACCAAACAACTGCAGTAAACCGGGAATGGGCTGAACTAACTTATCCTTTTTTCAAATGGTGAACACGGGGGAATCCCAGTTACTGTCATACAGTTTGCTTGGGATAGCACAAAGCCACAGGTAGTTTTGCTTCGCCCATCTCAGACTTCTTCAGGCTTAAAAATAGGCCTGTATTTCTCAGTAGGAAAACAGATACTTTATACAAGAACAGATGAGCTGCATACTGTAAGATCACCAATCACTGCATAAAAACTAAATACATACTGTCGGCTCCTGAAGTGCACAGAAACGCCAAGGGGAAAAATGCCACACGAGCTGAATAGCTGGCTAAAATTCATTGACAACCAAAAGGGAATACAAGCTGAATAATTTTAAAGACAAAGGTATACTTCCTACATTAAAATGACAGGCAAAGTTGGGGATGTCAAAAGTATTTTCCAAAATTATATCCCAACCTCACCGTGTGGTGTAGGAGCTAGTGGCATTTTGGGGGAGAAAGATACGACAAAAAAAAAAAAAAAAAATTAGATCCACCCAAAAATAATACAGACAGTTTTATGAAGAAAAATATTTCTGGTTGATAAATCAAACCTGGAACACAACAGGTTAATTTACGTGGCTCTTTTCCTTTTTACCATTAGAGAGATGCTTCCAATGAAGAATTTGTTAGTTATGCAACTGTATATAGCTCAAATTCCCCAATTTGTATTGCATTTCCTTTTCAGTAAGAGATCAAATGTATGAATGCTTTTCAAAACAGGTTTCTGGAAGTACTGTTTTTAAGATTTTAATTTTTTTCCGCTGTACTTTAAAAGCCTCTCTCTTAGTCAACAATGGATGATGTTTACCAATATACTTCCTTTGTGCCTGAATTTCGCTCTCCTGGACATCCAGACCACGTTTATTTCCAAACAGGATGTTTACCAGAGGTAGGGAATATGAATTCCGTGAGCATGCCGTAATTACGCGGCACTGGAAACTTTTAGTGGAGTGTAAGTGACATCACTGACAGAACATCAACAGGAAGGGCAGGAAGTGTTTTATGTTTTTGCACTGTTTGGTGTGATAAAAACAATAAAAATACCTATTAGCTTGCGCTATAGTCCTGCTGCATCCCGTCTCAGTAATTCAAACACATATGCATCACCATTGTCAGTAAGCTGCCTTTCATTTGTGTCACTGAGTTATTCACACACACATATATATGTATATATTTATATAGTCATTTAATTKTTTTCATATTTATTTCATATCTATTCCTCACTACTTCCTATAGTACTATTAGGTTTTGAGGAAGCCAAAGCTGAACAGATTTTAATTTAATACATGTGATTTGTTTAAAAACATAAGACTACGTTCACATTAATTTCCACAGGAACCTTCTTTTAACAGTCAGTTTCGTAGGCAGGAAACTGAACAACGGATATTCCAGATAGCAATAATAATTTTCCAAAATCTTGGAAAAAAAAATGTGGACACCTAGCGATAGTGGATAGAATAGATATCTTGCCTGTATTTTAATTAAAGATGACTTATAGTACCACCAATTTAATGACTACAGTAAGGTTATTTCCATGCATCAGCCTGCTCACGTTCTGYTGTGGAACACAAATGCAGAGAGCCAGAATCATCAGTGGGCAGGTGTCAGTCAACAGACCAGTCCACTGCCACCCAACGGGCACCCTCACTGAGGCACTTTGCACTCTGTACTAACTTAGGGGACAGGGAGAGCAAATCCTCATTAAGAAACAAAGAAAACACCAGTGTTTTTCCCATTTTCCCTGTGGTATATCCCTTTTTAAATCCAGGAGATAACACGGCAGTTTCAGAAGCTTGCTTGATGGCAAGCAACCTTACTCCAGGCTAGTTTTACAGTCTGCTGGCTAGGGCGATCTCCTGGAAAACATTGTCATCCTCAGGCTRAAAGTAACATTGAACTTGGATCTTCCAGTATCTTGGAGAATACTCTTAACAATTTTCATATTGTACAGAAAGCAGGAACCACAGCCATCACAGATGGCTTTAAGTAAAACAGTGGGACAGTTCACTCCCTAAAAATTGACAGTTTAGGTGAGACCACCCAAGTCTCTGTGCCTCAGTCCAATTTCACAGAATGGGTGAGGTTGGAAGGGACCTCTACAGATCATCAAGTCCAACCCCCTTGGACACCCAGCAGGGACACCCAGCAGGGGCRCAGGGCGGCATCCACGTGGGTTTTGAAGACCTCCAGAGAAGGTGACTCCACATCCTCCCTGGGCAGTCTGTTCCAGGGCTCTGTCACCCTCACAATTCTTCCATATGTTTTTCCTCATATGGAGATGGAATTTCCTGTGTTTTAAATTGTACCCATTACCCCTTATCCCGTCACTGGTAACCACTGAGTTTGGCCTCATCCTCCCTAAATTCTCCCCTCAGGTATTTGTAGATGTTGATCAGATCCCCTCTCAGTATTCTCCAGGCTAAACAGGCTCAGCTYACTTAGTCTTTCCTCATACAATAGGTGCTCCAGTCCCTTMATCATCTTTGYCACTCTACGCTGGATCCTCTCTAGAAGTTCTAGAATTTAGGCATCTGTTTCMAAGCTAAGGCAAGACCTGATTGCTGGGAAAGGCCCCTGTTTAATGAATATCCTATTCTTTAGCATCCCAAATTAGACAGTTCAAAGATATGTGACAAATCTTTGACATATGTTTGCTCTCTAAACATAATCTAACTCATGTCATTGTCTTAGAATCCCATTTTAAAGTACAGTTTCAAAATGAAACAAGATAGTTGTGGCCTTCTGCAAGAATAGGGCTCTCTTGTCTCCTTCACTATTCCCACCAGTGGTCTCATGTCCAAGCCTTTTCTCTTTCCTCAGGTTGTGCTCTCAGACTAAAAGGAACAAGAGGAACATAATGTAGGTTTACAGTGTTCTGGTTTAACTGAAGTCCAAAGCAAAACCATCAGCACTTTCATGAAGACTGAGTTTCTGCTGTTTCTCCTCTGCACTATCCTAGGGTCCAATTTTCCTCTTTTCATTTTGTGCTGAAAAGTAATGACTAAAAAATGAAGTATACCAGAGCAGTGAGTAGAATGACCAGTGAGTAGGAGGTGGGGGGCAGGAGGAAAGCTTTGGTTATACTTTTTGCTAAGGGGACATTTGAACAAAGTATTAGAATATTCAGAAACTTTTTCTAACATAGATTCTGCACTTCTGCACAGATCTAGTAATAGATATTCTGTTCATATAAAATATTACTTTAGAAAAGTAAACCGATTCTTTAATAACTAAAGGAAACATCTAATTACACTGACTGAAGCAAGCTGTTTTCATGCTCAAAAAAGAGTGGGCTCAGAACTGTACCTTGAAAAGGTGTCTTATAACTATAAGCAATGAGGTAAAAGTGTGACACACAAATAGACAGGAAAAAACAAATAGACTTACCTGTGAAAAATACCACCCGTACAATGGGAGCCATTTTAACCCGTCTTTTAAAACATATCGAACGTGGCCAATTGCATTCTGCCTCATTGCCAACATGTCTGCAATAATCCAATCAACTGCAGAGACAAAAGTCCAAAATGTTCAGTTAAATCAGCTTTCAACTGCCACAGATAGCATAAACCATACCTTTTGTACATGCAAGTATCAGTAAAGGCTTCTGAATGAAAATGCCTGATGTGAAGCTCATGAGAGCAAGACTGAAAAGAGATCGAGTAAACTGGCAAGCAGATCAAGAATGTGTAAGAACAAATGGAAAAATGAAGGGAAGGAACTTTCTGAATCAAGGTGATTAATACTTTTTTTTTTTTTTTTTTTTTTTTTAATGAATAGCTCTCATTTAGTCCAATTTTAAATGCTGCAGTACTAGCTTTCCTAGGAGAAGTTTTCAGCACTGCAAAGTTCTATTATAAGACAAATTTTTAGATAAATTATTTTGATTTCAATAATAGTGTTCTTTAGAGGGCATGTTACCATTTGCTGTGTACATAACTCAAATTTATTAGATAGAGAAAATTCTGGAAAGTATTATAAAGCAGCTTTGGATACTGTTTCATTCTTACTTTCTCCTACTGCTGAAATTTTCCATCATACATGTTTGAAATAGTTGTTCCTAACACTCGGCTGTGCATCATGGAAGTTATAAATTTTGCTAAAATGGTGTTTCAGGATCTATTTTCCTATCAGTGCTTCCTCAAATAACCCAAAATGTGGAACAACAGCTCATGAGGATAACCTTATTTTAACAGGTAAAATACCACAGAGCCTGGTTTCCACTTTGCTTGATGTAGTACAAGCTTCATTTGGTATATAACCAAGTCCACAGAGACTGCCACTAATCTGCTTTACTTTGGACAGACCTGTCCGTAGTCTAACCCATAATTAATTTCAGGCATCTGGTAAAACATCCTTAAGATATATTGCAGTGTTCCCCATGGAGTTAATGAAGAGCGAGAGGCGCCTCTGAAATCCTACAAATGGAAATTACACCCACCAGACAGGCCTTGGGGCCCAGTCTCCCCGGACACTTCCTGAATCCTTGGCCTAATTAGGATACTTTGGAGACACTACCTGGTTTAAGAGTCACCATAAAAATTAATGGCAAATAATGTTAGGAGTGTACACAGGAACTTTGCCATGGGTATGGCTAGAGAAAGAAAGGAAAAATTCTTTCCCTCCTCTGTGCAGTTTCTGGTTCTAGCAAGTGCACAGAGTTCATATTCACGCCTTGAGCTTCTTGCCTGCTCGTTTGGATCTAGATGTGGCATCATGAGTCCTCCTTGCAAAAAAATGCACTGCACGGGTAAGTATTTAACACAATGAGTCTCCAATGGAGATGCTATCTCCATTGGTAGGTCCTTTGGWATATTCTCCATTTACCTAGTCACTACTGCAGCCATCCTTCGCCATCTTTTTTTTTTTAATTTTTTTTAAACTTAACTCAGTTGACAAAGCACACAGAAAAACATTACATTAAGACTCTAGATCTGAGATTATTACATAAAATAGTTAATCCCTCTTCCTCCTTTGAAAAAMTCAGCAGATATTGCTAATTAATTTCAAGCCAGGCCCAGGTCTGATTCTCACTGTGGAGACGTTCAGTAAAAATCACAGAAATCTAAGAAACAGCAGACATTTAAGAAAGGGAAGTAATTTCAACTGTTTTTCTAGACTTTAACTAAATAATGAGATGGGAAAGAAGAATGAGTTATGGCTAAATCCAGACAGCCTCTGGAGGTTGCATTTGGTACAGAAGGAGCCAAGTTTGCCTGCAGTCCTGAAAGTCGAGGGTAAGACACGCTACAGAAACAGGTAGTCAATYCATCTTTACAAATGAACTGGGATATATGCATCATTCTCGGGTCTCCAGGTACTCACTGACCAAACACAAGTCTTAAAAACACATTTAAAAAAAGTGATTATAAAATGTTATAATGATCTTGACTGCCTCTTACTACTATAACTGCAGCCATCACATTTCTATTAACAGTAACAAGATTTTTAAGCATTCTTAGCTTTGACTCATACAGAGAAGGAGATGAGATTAAGTGCTTTGGCATTTCATGCATCTTTCATTACAAGTGTAGCAAGAAGAGCCAAAGCCAAACTTCTATTAAATAAATACTAGAGATGAACCTAAAGCATTGTAGCTATTTCCCTTCTAAGCTCATAACTGTACAATGAGCTGAAATATCCATAGGAAAAACTGTTTTTAATCTAAGAGAGCATATAAGCAAAAAACAATACAAACCTGTACACTGATGGTTTGATAAATATAATATATTTTCTTTATTTTTTGGCAAATCCCCATAGATTATTACCTAAAAAAAAGAAATGTAATATTACTTTATTATTTACATTCATTGCATTATTCAGTAATGAGATTCAGTAAGGTAGGTATTTATCAGGAAAGCTGCCAACAAGTTAGTACCATTAACTCAAATGTCCTCTATATCAGTACTCCTCATGCATACAATCTCATTATCAACAAAGCAGTAAAAATTAATTAGGACATAAGAAAGTCAATCTGTTCTATCTCCACCCTGTAACTTGATCCATGGAAGCAGACCTATACCCACAAGATACCCACTTAATGTAACTAAAAGGGRCCATGAAAAATAATCCTAAAAAAATGTATCATTTAAAAATATCTAAAAAATAATCATTTAACTCTGTATCTGGTGTGCACAAGATGTTTCAGACAGACACTATTAGCTTAGTTAAATCTAAAACTACATAAATCTAAARCTACATTAGATCAAGAGCAGAATCTCCACTATTTATCATAATTTTAACTTTAAAACTAGAAATGCACATGTTTAGGAAGGTTCTTTACATTGGTCTTCAACTTCTAAGAGCAGCTTTTGTGCTGCCTTTCTCCMTTACACTGCAGCACCCTGTGTAACTTGCAATTTTTTCTTTTACCGCAGTAATTATCTGCTAGAGGAACAACCTTTTGAGAGCACGATTACAAAGCAAGATTCAGAAGCAGTAATCCARATCAGCTTTTAAAGTGGATTAATTCAATTAGGTATTATTTCAAACGTACAATGAGAAAGTGAATTAAGCCACTTCAATCGTGAACTGAACAATCCATAAAGCATCTTCACTATAAAAACTGTTCTTGGGCTATTTTGGCTTAGTTTTCCTAAACTGTCTAGGCCGCATTCCCTGCTATTCCCCTAATACCAACAGGCTGTATCCCTTGTTTCCAGAAGTTAGCTGAGTTAAACACACCTTCTTTGAAATGAAAGATCACCAGAACATCACAAAACAGAAACCCACAAATCTATTTGGAAGTTTTACCAACTTACTATAATCACGCTCCCAGTCTGATTTATTTGGAGATTTTAATCAGTAAAATATTTATTATTTATAGATCTTGATTTAAATTGTTTACTGTGACTAGTCTCATATTGATCCTTACTGAATGTCCCTATGAGCATCCCTCTGAAAAATCTGCCAACCCGTTAGTTTATCCGCTACATTGAATGGATAATTTTTTGTATTGTTATACTGTACAAATATCCTACAAAACRGCTACATGTCAAATTTTCTATTCAAGACAAGAAGCTGAATATTGACAAAATGAATTATTCACTAAATACGAAAAATGGGAGATCATCCAATATACACTGAAGAGAACATTACTTTTTTCTTTTCTTCTTCCAAAAAGAGAATACACAATAAATTTTAGCTAAAAATATGTGTAACAAGACAGCTGATAAGTATATTCTAAACAGTTATCAAGAAATTCTAATGTGATTTTGAAAGGGTATAAGAGTACTTTTCTCACTGAAGTTCAATCAGGACTTAAAACCTTCCTGCTGACACTCCAGCAATCACAGGCTACTAAGTGCAAAGCAGCAGCCAGAGGATGTGACTTTGCGGTTCAGTTACAGAAATCCTTCAGGAGTAAAAAATAATCTTCCCATAGTCACTTATGGAGTTAAAACTGGATTTTTCTCTAGCTATTCTCTAGTYATTTCTCTAGCTAAAGTGTATTTCCCTAGCACTGTTACTCTCTATCTCTGCAATCCTGTTTTCTGCGTGACTACCATCCAGCTTCTGGCCAAGATCATTTTAGAGAAAGTCATCGGTTGCACTGGGCTTTTTCCCTAGAACTGTACAGAAGGTATTAAATGTTATCATAAAAGATTAGAAAATAAGAACAAGAAGAAAACAAACCTGCACGTGACCTTGTTAGAGTCCACACAGCAAGGAAACAAAGCTTGAAATATGTGGTTTACAATTTTTATTTCTAACTCCTACTCCTCCACTATAAAGTAAAAAACCTTGGCAAAGCCATATCTATGATTCAAAGCATTCCTTTGTGACTACTGCATTATTAAAAATGAATGTAAAGGATGATTCCCCTAAAAAAGCCATATATGATTATATGCCAAATAGAACAGTAAATCTCTGCTGCCTTTTATTTCAACAAGATTGGATCTAGTTCATTTTTTAATCTCAGCAAATTAGATTCYCGGTGTTATCAGAAATAGAATTCTGTGCACAAGAGCTTGCCMAAAACGCCCATACAGGTATGGCACYGTTTCATTTTTTTTTAATTTTCTGTTTATGATGAAACATGTAGCCACACTCCAGTAAAAAGCAAAAGGAAGATATATTCTTAATTAGTCTTACTAAAGACAAAAAGGATAATTTATTCCAAAGCAAAGGACGAAAAAATAGGAAAGTTTGCTTTGTTCATTCAACAGTCAGAAGGACAATAATCCTTTAGTGTCATTTTGAGGACAAGATGGCTCAGTCTAAGAGGATGTAACAGCTTTAACTACAGCCCCATTTGTTTCAGCACTGCCTATTTCAGTCATTTCTACAGAAGACTTACACAGCTGCTCTTTTGCCTTAGATGAACTATTCAARTATTAGGCATTCACAGCTAGGAACTGAGAGCTTGAAGCTGTATTTTACTGCTAGCATTACACCAAAAGTGGCACCTTCCCATCTTTATTCTTTAGAGGTTTCTTCAGATTTTGCTATTGGGGCACTGCAGAGCCACAGGAGACAGGGGCTTGGCTTCGGCTTTGGCTTTGCCTTTCTCGAAGTGTTCACAGATCTTCCACAGCACAGGGCTAAGGGCGGAAAGACTCGAGCCCTGCAGAAGTGTCAYCCCTTTTCATTAGCGCAGCTCCAGAATACTGATTTAAAAAGCAATTTGTAAGGATTGCTCTTCCAGCATACTGACACGAGCAACAGCTGAGACTCAAACGAATGTGAGAATCCCCACTCATYGGAGGTGGTGTTCAGCTACAGCACRTTAGGAATTCTTGGGATAAGGATGAATGTAAATTCATAAAGTTTGAAGAACTCCTCAGCCTGTGGGTAAGCGGAGAATGGGTCCCCTCAGGACAGGCTTTCAGTTTCTGCCAAGTGCAAGCTTTTAGGTGAACTAGAGCATCTAACGTTAACAGCTGCAGAAGGAAGGCACACAACACTGTTTTTCAAGGTGTTTGGAAAACTTCAGASTCGCTGCTGCTGCTGCTTGTTGCCACTGAACTCCCTGTCACTCTCCATGTAATATGAAGCATTTTATCCATAGCTCTACAGGCACCACAGCTTACACACATCGTTCCAAAGTGCTAGTTTGAAAGACTAAGGAGATTAATGCATTAATTACTGCACTTCCTGTCACAATAAAGCAATGGGAACCTAGGCATTGGAATAGGTGCTGTTTCATTAAAATAAACCAATGAAATATCTACTCACCATGAAGTCAAGAAAACAAGTTAAAAGGAAGAGCAAAAGARCAAGTCAGAACAGAAGCCTTAAGCAGAAAATTGGGGGAAAACACATTGCAAACGTAACTTGTGCCCAGAACACAGACCTGTGCTTTTAGCCCTGCTTTGGTTGTTTCACAGCCCATTCCACGATAACAGCTGCTGTTCATAGAGGCCTTTGCCACCTCTTTACCTAGCGCCGTGGTCCAACTCGATTCCCCAGAGGAATGAGGATGCTCACGGATGCAGCAGGGCCAGGGAACGCGTGGGAAGGGGGGTTCGTGTCTTCCTTGCACCAGGCTGCTCACGAGCGCGGTGGGCACAGGACGCTCCCCGGAGAGCCGAGGATGGAGGCAGCTCCGATTCACAGGCAGCGGTAACAGGTATCCTCGAGGAGGAGTTTGCTGACGCCTCAGGCTGAGCTGGGCACCCAAAGGGGCTCCAGGGGATCTGGTGACACCAGCCTCAGCAACAGCCTCTACTTCTTCCGCAGCAGCAAGTTCAACTTTTTCAAAAGTCGGGCTAACATGACGGGCTGCAAAGCTATGCACCACACGCAAGAACCTGGCAGCCACACACAGTAACTCACCGTCTGCATGAGATGCGACAAAAACAGGTTGGACTCCCCCCCGCCACCAATATCTTCTTTAGAAAAATCGTGCCTACTAAAGAAAGTGAAGTAAATCTTTGATTTATATCCTAGCTACAGCAGCTTAGTAAACAGGGCTAGGACAGAATAATTAAGCCTTGCAAGCAGGTCAACCAGCAACCACATCAGGTTCCTGGCCATGAGATCACATTAAAATGTCAGGTTGGTGACTGGTTCTGCAGCAGACTTGCAAGCACTGCAGGTTCCTCTCCTTCGGCAGCACAGCTGCTGATGCGTGGTAATAACCTGGGCCATCTTATCTTATGTCCTACCTCATGCCCATCCCATGCCACCCTAGCGCACGCTGTCTTGGTTCTTCAGATTTCTCAACCCTTCTCCTTTCCCTTTTCAAAGGAACCTGCTGTGAACTGCAGAACAACACCCCCCTCTTTGCTATTACYTCAGCAGCAGAGTTCTGTGCAGTTTTGTACAGAAAAACAAGAAGTGGAGCACTATGGTGAGGAGAAATGCCAGCTTCAAGCACAGAGGCACCAACAAGRAGAAGGAGGAAAAATAAAAGCAGAGGTACAGCGATAGCAGGAGAAATTCAAGGCACCAATGCTTCACTTGTAAACAACCTTACAAAGTTTGTATTTTGAGCTGCGCTATCCTCAAAACACCAAATTGTCTGTTTTTGCCATCTCCCCACAACTAACATATAATTTGCATTGCATGTTCTTGAGGACAAGAGTTTCTTTGTTATCTGCAAGGCGCGAACTTATTCAAGTGAGTGCTATCCAAAGATCCATTGCTCATCTTTTCAGTAAGAAGTCTGGAAATAACTTTGTGGTCRAAAGGTGGAGTTTACATCAAGGAACCTTGAAAGCAACTTCCAGACCTGACTTCTGATATCAGAGYACAGCCCTGGGCAGGCCGGGCTCTGCAGCACTGCGGCTCTGGCACAGGATCTGTTACGAACGCATTTAAGGTG